ACTGAGGTATAATCACTACTCCAAGCCAAGTTCCAGCTGGCACCAAACAAATCCACGTTTGTGACAGCAGAATTAATTGTTTTCCAAAAGACAAGCTATTATTATTAATCATTAAAGTTGTTGATATCTGCTTCTGGGATCATTTTTCTACCTCTGAACATATCTGGTTCAATGAGGTAGATTCAGTTCTGCCTTGGATCGGTTTTTCTTTGCAAAAACTTATAGGACTTTTAAAAATTCCAGTACATTACATTGTCCAGGGATTAAACAACAACAAAAAACACCAGAATGGGTTTGTTTTATGACCAGTCCCCACTTTTTTACAGAAAGAAAATGAAGTGGTAAACTGCTGTATTTTGGGGACATTGTTTACTAATGTGCAAGTGACCATGTCCTAAAAGGCAAAGTTGTAGAGCCAAAAACATGCAACTGGAATAGCATCTTTCCCCATATTTAAAAAGCTATTTGGTTTATAAATTTAAAATGATTCCAATCTGTATTTTAAAATGTATTGTGATGTTTCCTGGGCTTTTTCTTCTTAGAAAATAATATTAAAAGCAAAAAAAAGTTTGAACTACAACTTATGCTATTATAAAACTGAGAAAAGACAGGGCATAATGGGAATGGTGGCATAGGAGGTTGTATTATATTATGATACACATAAAAATAAAGTTTCATGTAACAACACTACAGAAATGGTACATGTTTCTTGCTATGACTTGCTGACTCAGTTGATTATGTTATTGGTGGTTGACCAATGATTGTAATAAAATTAAGTACAGAAACTGCCAGGGATATCTGCAAATATTTATGGATCCTCAAGGGTAGAGGGTCCTGGGATCTCCATCACAGTTCCATTCATTCAGTCCCCCACACTTTGTGCAGCTCCTTGGTTTTCTCTCTCCACCCCTTCTATTCTGCACAATTACAGGTCACCCAGAGGCACAGCATGTGATGAAAGCGTCCTGGAGTAGATGATGTCTCCCTTGTGTTGTTTCCTCTGTTGCCACCAGATATTCTGGATATGATAGCAGCAGACTGAGTTTTTCAAAGAATCTGGTCTGCTTTGTACATCTGGAAAATTAACCAGGGTTTGCACAGTAAATTGCAGTGTAAGCAAACTACAGTTTATTGTGATTGCTGAGTAAAACTGTTACATAACACTGGGGAGATCACAATGTGCAGTTACCATTATATGCAATTCTTCATAGGCAGCATTTGTATTCCCCCACCATGTGGATAGATGCTTAAATTGTTCCAGGACTAAGAGAAGAGTGCAGATCTAATTGTAAGAAATAAGGATAGATTAAAAAAAATTCTGCTTCAGGTTCAGAAAGCAATGTGTGCTCCTGTGCTTCATTTTAGCAACTGGACTGCATAATGTCCCTGTGTGTGGCAGAAGAAAGGAATGAATGCATTGCTGCTCCATTCAGTAGGCACATCTTTCCCCCTTAAGGTTGCCCTTGGCTTGGAGGGCAGTTCTAGGGATGTAACATTTGAACACATCATACACACATAAAATCCAGTTGTGTGGTCTAGAATAGCATGATTGACATCCCTCTAACAACCCAGGAATTGACGGTATAATTTAGGCAAGGGGTTGGATCCAGACTAATTTTGTCAGCAGAGTGCAACTTTTCTGCCCCCCCTCCCCCCCGTTCACAGATTTCCACATAAAGCTGCTTGTGGGGAATAAGGAGCACTTAGGAACAAAATGAGGGGGTCTGCAGCAAGAAGAGGGAATTGGTGGAAATTGCCAATTTAGTCTGGATCCAACCTATGATTTGGATTTCACATATATATATATCTTATTTAAATGTTATACACATGTGTACATATCCAGGGAGGATTGGATTCGGAGGTGACACAAGCCTGCCTAGTGAGTGCACATGGAAAGGTGCTATTTTGCTTCCCACTGCACATAGAGACAAGATTGAAGAGGTGGTTTGGTTTAATGTATCAAGGCACTACATTTTTAAGAGAAATAAGCTCTTTGGATCCCTAATTTGTTCATTAGAAAGTAATTTGCCATATTCTTTGTAGGCTCTAGTAGAAAACAAATGTGTTACTCTTTGACATGACTGTGGGCAATAAAACCCCTTTTCAGATGTTTAAACTATTAATATTTTATAGCCCTTTTTATTTTTGGCTTCTCCTGAAAGACAGGTAATTCCATTTAATTGCATGTGGGAAAGTACTTTCCACCATTCCTTTTTCTTTTATGGTTGGTGTTACACTTCAAGACAATGCTGTAAAAGTAAACTGTGAATGAAATAGTAGAATACGCACATTGGCAACCCCATGGATTAAAAAAAAAAAGGAAAACAGATAACGTCTGGGTATTTACTGACCTCCATTTATGAGCACAGCTGGCCCTTTTTGGTTTCATTTTAATACTTTCACAGGGGTAGTAAGATACATAAAATATGTGTTTAAACCTCATGTATGGATACATGCACACATATATGATAAACTGGACCGTGAGACAGATTCTTTTCTAATATAGAAAGTTTAGCTAGAATTCAACAGATGAAATCAAAGGAGAAGATTCATGTGTGATTTAGACTATGAAACAGAAAATGGTTTGTGAATGCATAGTTAGGTTTATGGACAATCTGTGCTACTGATGTGTAACATGAGGTTTTTTTAAAAAAAGAACATATTGAGCCAATGACTTCCAACAAGGCAGGAGAAAGTAATATGATGTGAAAGTGTTGAATTGGAGTCAGCCTATTCCTGCCTAATTGCTGGTGCAGTGTCCCCGCAGTGTTGTTGTTTCTTCTAGACTTTGTGCGCATGTCAGAAACTACTCCATGCATTTTTCTCCTCCAGCCTAATGCCTCTTTTATGGGTATCATAACAGGTTCTCCTCTTTCACTCTTCCCCAAATATTCCTTGAGCCTTCTGCTGGAAGTGACTCCAGCACTTGTGTGCTGGTGCTAAGTGTTGAATATGGTGGTGCTAAGCAGATGTGTAGGTGAAGGAGAGAAAGAGAAGAAGAATGTATTTGTTCATAGAAAAGCCACTAGCCCAGAGAATAGAGTGCTATGCTGCTCTTTACTTCCATACATACTGGTACTTGCTTACTTTATTTATACCCTATCGTTCTCCTCAATGGAGAACCCTGGAGAGATTTGTTGTTCAGTTGCACAATCAAGTCTGACTCTTCGCAACCCCATGGACCACATCACGCCAGGTCCTCCTGTCATGCTCTGGAGTTTGCTTAATTTCATGTTTGTTGCCTCAATAACACTGTCTAATCATCTCATCCTTTGTTGTCCCCTTCTTCTTTGACCTTCAATCTTTCCCAGCATCAGGGTCTTCTCCAGTGAGTGATCCCTTATCATTTGGTGGCCAAAATATTTGCACTTCAGCTTCAATATCTGGCCTTCCAGGGAACAGTCAGGGTTGATTTCTTTCAGGATTGACTGATTTGACATCCTTGCAGTCCAAGTGACTCTCAAGAGTCTTCTCCAGCACCATAGTTCAAAATAATCTATTCTTTGGTGCTCGGCCTTCCTTATAGTCCAACTCTCGAAGCCATGCAGTACTACTGGGAATACCATACTGGAGAGATACTTTTATTCAAAGTAGCTTACATCATTCTCCTCACCTCCATCTTATCCTCACAACAACCCAGTGAGGTAGGGTAGGTTGAGTCTGTGTGACCGGCCCAAGGTCATCCAGCAAGCTTCCCTAGCAGAGAGGGTATTTGAACCTGGGTCTTCTAGATCCTAGTTCAGCTCTTCAACCACTACACCAGACTGACTTTCTTTAAAGCCTCTCTGGCCACCATGCCATAAGCTGTGTAATGTTCATCCCTATCTTTGTTGTCATATAACACTGTAGCTTAGCATGGTGACATTGTCAAAGCACAAATTGTCTTTATCCCTAATGTAACCCTACCTTGAGCAATGGCCTGTAGAACAGAAATGCAAGGCAATACAGGATCTCTGAAGAAACTCAACCTGTTTCAAGCTTTGTGAGTGTTTCAGATTTTATTGCAAAGTATGGAAAACTTAAAGCTTACATTCCTTGGCTTACATGCAAGCTATTTATTATTTTTGGTTAGACGGGAGCTCATGCATTTGTGGGGGGGGAAGCAAACTTGAAAGGCAGCAAAGTCTGAATTAACTTACATACTCATATAAGGGGGGCTGCATATGAGCCTAAAAAAATAAAACTTTAATCAAATCAGTACCATTCTTATGGATGTGCCTAAAGAAAGAGTAAGTCTGAGCAAATCTTAAAAGGGCACGTGCAAGTCTCACTCTGTGTCCAAGTATGAGTAAATTTGTTCCAGTCCAGCTATGGCACTTGGACTTCATTTCTCAATTTTTAAAGTCTTTTTCCCTTTGGATAAAAGGCTGTGGCTTGTAGCAGCTTGGTAACAGGTGACACACAAGCATCAGCTTATACCAGTCACTCAAGTTCTTCTGTGAAGTGATTTCTCAAAAGTTCCTATTCGTTATGGTTAAGCCAAAAAACATCAGTGGGGCTGTTGATCTGCCCATGGCACACAAAGGAGTGAAAAACTGAGTTCTCAGGGCCTCCAACCTCTTTCTGTAATTTTCAAAGCATTGTCCATTCTACCAACCCATTTGTAGGTGCAGGGTCTTGGTATAGGGGTTTGATACCATCGACAGTGAAGACCTCTGAATTCTTTTACTGTTGAATGCACAGGCATTGTCTGATTTTATGTAACAACATAAGTTGCAGTAGTACAAACAGAGACATGCATAATTCCATCTGAAATATGATTTAATTCTGTGGGGCTAGTAATTTCATTACCCAGTCATAGGAGGCCGGCCATATTCCCTGTGGGCTACCCCACAAAAGCAGTATAATGTCTCTTGGGAGATGCAACTGAAAAGGAAGCACTGGCCAAACAGTGGCAGAGGAACTAATTACACTTTCCACCAAATGATTGCAGTGGTAGCCTGACTGTCCTTTTCTGGAATGAAGAAGTCACTTGAAAATGCCGCGAGCTCAAGTCAGAGATGGTGACAACCATAGTGGCCCTGATTGGTGGAAATATGGGATATAAATGTTGTAAAGGAAAATTTAAAAATACAAGAAATAAGCATAATATCAATAATAAAGGAAATAGTGTTTGTAGACTGAATGATCATCTGTTACAGCTTATTGAAAGAGTGATAATACCCACTGTATACACAGGTCAAGAAACAATTTTTAAAAAATGTATTGATCACAGTGAATGCAAAGTCAAGCTCCAATTTCTGACAATAGATTCGAGTAAGAAAAAAGTTTGGCACATCTAATAATTGAGCATGATTAAATACCAGATGCTGGCTTAAGTAGACAATTGGTCAAATTAGGTTTTGCAAGATTCATTTGACCCAGGACATGGAAAGCCATTTCATGTGTTATAATTAAAGTGAATTCACAAATAGGTTGTTATATATATAACAATCCCATGTGTAACCTTTGGGGAGGAGGGGAACGATGAACATCAGCAAAGGGAACTATTTTTTTTTTTAAAAAAAGAATAAGAATAAAACAACAATATTTATTTATTTGCATTTTTACCCCGCCCTCCCCGCGAACGGGCTCAGGGGATGACGTCAGCTCCCCCCCCCCCATGTCATAGATAAGGGAAACAAACTGAGTTGTATAAGGAATCTAGGAAAAGGTAGCAGAGAATGGAAGATCAAGAGAATATGTAAAGCATGGGTGATGGATAAAATGGAAGAAAGGAAATTGGGGTTTTGGAAATATAGTGGTAGACAAGAATGTAAAATGAACCAGATAGAAAGGGAGACCAATGAAGAAGCATTGAATTGAATGCAGAGTGATGCATGGTGTAAAGAACAGGCATTCAAATATGATAGGGCACTTTCTAAGAAATGCGGGGTGGGTTAGTTCAAGGTAGGAAATAGGAGGGAAGAAGATCAAGAAACAACCAGGTGATACCATTGTATAAAGCACATTAAAGAGGGGGGGAAGTGTGGATGTACATGGAACTGAAAAGGCTTGAACAAGACAGAGTTCCTAAAGACCACTGTGTTGGACTGGATAGGCCATTGGCCTGATCCAACATTAGCTTCTCTTATGTCCTTATGTTCTTAAGACAAATCTGTGTATTGAAACATGCTAGAGATGCACTGTGTAATTTGTTGGTCCATAGTGGAACACATAAACAAAGAGAAAATATCACACAATGATGACCTCACATATGCATATCATTGTGTTCTGATCTACATGCAGAAAGCATATTTCCTGCATTTAAGTGCTTTCAGTATTTTTTTAAAAAAATATCCTCTAGTAAGGGGATATACATGCATTGTTCCTCTGAAGAGTAAGAGTCATGACAAGTACTTGTAATGGAATCAAGGCCTGGTGATGGCACAATGGCACATTATGAATAGTAGCAGTCTAGTATCCTGATTTCAGCCAGTAATTAATGGTTGTTTTATAAATGGAGTTATTATTGAGGGTAGAGCCAGAGTGTAAATTTGTTTTGAGTAACTCCTAAAGACTGGAGATTTCCAGAGCCCCAAATTGGTGCTCCAGACAGAAGCTGGGGCAGTAGTTTCATTTTATAAATTTCTAAACTTGGAGAAATCAGACAGCCTCCTCCCTTCCTATAAAACCTAAAAATACCAAGGATAGCTTTTTTGAGGTTGTACTTAGCATAGTCAGTATGGACTGTCCAAGAGCCTGACTGATGAAACATCACCTCTAAATATTTAAAGCTAGATACTATTCTAATGGTTGATTGTCCATTGTCCATGATAATGCAGTCTTCTACCAAAAACCATAATCTTGGTTTTATCGTAATTAACATTAAGTAGGGTTTTTTTAACAGTAGAAGCTGGACTCTCTCCACAGCCCTCTAAGACCAATTTGAATATGGGAAATTAGCAGTGTGTCATCTGTATAGGGAGCTGCGGTGGCTCAAGTGGTTAAGACGCTGAACTGCAGGCTGTGGAAGGTCAGTAGTTCAGCAGTTCGAGACCCGGGTGCCACATGATGGAGTGAGCTCCCATCTCTAGTTCCAGCTCCTGCCAATCTAGCAGTTCGAAAGCAAGGAATTGCAAGTAGATAAATAGGTACCACTTCGGTGGGAAGGTAACAGTGTTCCGTGCGTCTTGGTGTTTAGTCATGCCGGCCACATGACCACGGAAACATCTTCAGACAGCGCTGGCTCTTCGGCTTTGAAACGGAGATGAGCACCGCAACCCTAGAGTCGGATTCAACTGGCTTTCCACCAAGGGAACCTTTACCTTTACCTCTACATCTGCATAGAGTACCCTGATTTATTTGTCAGCTATTATAACCTTGAGCACAGGATCTAATCTCTTTTTCTTCCTCAGTTTGTCATTTGTACAAAGTTAAATAATTCCCTAGCTGGTGAGGAACCTCTGTTTGTAAACAAGCACAATTTCTTTCACCATGCCAAGCTAAATCTAAGATCTCTCCTGAGTTCTGTAGTCTAAAGAGTAAATTACACTTGCAAGTTAAGTTGTAGGTTCTCAACTACACTGTCTATTTCAGTTAGCTTAGGCACAATGAACCAAGTTTTAGAGAACAAAGCCCATCAAACTACCCCTCACCTGATCACTCATCTATGTTTTATTTTATATGAATATGAGTGGGAGGGAGTGTGAAGAACAATACATGCTATACATGCTGCCTTCCTTTAACCTCAGGTGTTATATACCATATGTTAATACTTAAAGTATTATGTGGGAAAAGGGAGTGTATTCTGGGACTTTCTTGGATTTTCCCCCTTTTGTAGCTACACCTACCATTTGGCGTCGGCAGTAGAGGAAAACAGAGAGGTTTTGCCTCAGTTGCAACAGCTGCAAAACAGATGGGAGGCTGACATGAAATCTGCCAGAAATCTCTTCCAGGTTTTCCACCCATTTTCCACCAAAGAGAAAAACATTCAGGTGATACTGAATACAGGCCTCAAGGTCAAAAAGGGATGGAATCTCCCTGTCCTGGCTGTTAGAAGCTGCTAAAAAGAAACATTCCAGGAAAACAAAATTTACTGCTTTGGAAATCAAAACAACCAAACTTCATGTACCTTAATACTATCCGAGCAATTTGGTTTTAATAGAAAACAATGGGGAAATAGTGCTGGATGGGCCATAGAAGACAAAGACAAAAAGTACTTGGAATTTAAAAGTTGTATATCTGCTAAATCCACTTTCCCCCAAAGTTTGTCCTTCAGGTTTCTTTGCATTTAGCTACTAACATCTATTTAGCGCAAGTGGAATATCATCATCATCACCATCCCCATCAGTTATGTGAACTATGCCATGATGGCAGGGTTTGTAGATCTCTGTGATTCTGCTGTGCCAAGGATAGCTTAGTCTATAATGGAGTCTTCCAAAGTGGACATGTCAAAGGAGAGAGACCAGGCACACAACATCCACCACATAATGCAAGATATGGTGGTGGCTTTAAGTTCGTGAGCATTTGTAGCATTCATAGCAGTATCTATTATACTGAATTTGTTCTCCCATGGGATTGCTCAGGTATTTCACCTAGTAGCTGGTCAAACATTCACAAAACTCTAAAAATGCTTTGTAGAAATAAGAACAACATTGTATCAGCTGAAAGCTTTTAATCTCTAGTATTTGTTGCTTATTTTACTAAAATCATGTAAGTAAATCTGCCTAAATCACGATTAAGGATTGATACAAGTGAGGAAAGGACAATAATTATCCATAAATGCACACAACTTTTTTGGCTTAGATCCAGTGGCTTAGTTTCAGTAGAAAGAAAATTAAACTAGTGAGTCCTGAACTAGGACCGTGCTGAATATTTGCCCCAAATACTAACCTACTTTGTGCTTCTTTTTTCTTTTCCTCATCAGCGGCTCCTTTGATTTCTTTCTGCTGGATCCATTCTTCTTGCTGGCTGGGTATTTAGGGGTGTGCACATTAAAAACTGTTATAATTTTGGATCCAGATTTTGAGTAGGGCACTGTGTTTATTATGCTGTTTTTCTGGAAGTGTAGTTATTGGTTAGGGATTTCCCCCCCTGGGTATTTTTAATTTTTGCACCACCACCCCCAGGCAGCAGGAGCCAAGAGGGAGGAAGAGAAAGAGAGAAGCTAGCCCCAGACTTACAATACCAGTGGATGCTCCCTTCCACCCTGGCATCTGCTTGGAAATGGTGGGTGGATTAATGGGCTCCTGCTCTCCCATGAGACTTGGCTTTCGCAGTAGTTGTTTTCTTCCCTACCATTGACGGTGTTAATCAGAAATTGAATAACAGTATGGCTTTTGTTTTTAAAAAGAGTTAGTCTCTAGCTTCTTCTGTTGTGGAGATATTCCTTTTGCTTCATTTCTCCGCAATGGAAGTATCTAGATACTTACTTAAAAAAAATGAAACCTGGGAATTCAAAGAACCTGGTACGCTTACTACTATACTATTATATTGATGTAACACTATTCAATTGCTGGGGGGGGGGTTAAGCCACCCACCCCCAGTGGCAGGAAGGAAATGGCTAGTGCAACAGCCAAGCCTCCTGGGAGTCAATGAACCTGCCAATCTGCCCACCATTTTCTGGCTGAGGAAGTGGGCTCTCCTGCCTCTGATCCTGGTGGTAGCGAGAAGCCTACAGCAGCCACAATGCCAGCATAGTAATTCCAGTGCCAGTTCAGTTCTTTCTCTCTTAAAATTTAAAGGGCCATGAGTGGAGGTTGAAAATACCTGACATCAATGGTTAGTTGACATATCTTCTCAAGTGATGCTAACAGCTATTTTACAAGCTGGTTTCTTCTCTTTTCCTCCCCACTCCTGCACCTCCCTGAAGCCCTGAAACACTCTTGAAGTGCCAGGAAATAAATTGTTTCAGGTGTCTCTGAGCCAGTCCACAACAGCTAATTTTCATTGTAACTGTGGTTCAGGTAGATCCAAATGCATATGACTAAGCTGGAATGATACGACATAGCCCTTCAGATTTGATTGCATTATGACAAAGCAAACCCAAATGAAACATTGTCCTGACTGACTACTGGCGTTGTGCAGCACACATTTTCAATCCTGTTCAGGTCCTCATGAACACAGAATAACATGGGACTTACTTCTGCTTAGGTTTGCTCCCACAGCAAGAGAAAAGAAGCCAGGTTGTTTAAGGGGGTGGAGACCTTTGGGTTGCTGAGGATGGGAGAGCAAAGGTCATATTCAGAGATATACAATTGTTGGTTATGACAGTTTGATTCTATAGATCTATGAGGTTCTGAGTTAAACAAAAAGTGCTTGTTACTGTTGGAACT